AGGAAATAAATGCCCTAAATGTATACAAATTAAACATCTACCATAACTTGTTATTTATGTTTAAACTTCAAAACGAATTAATTCCAAAATATTTTTATAAAAACTTCTCTCTTATTAATCATAAATATAAAACAAGACACTCAATTAATAATTACTGCATCCCACTAACATTACTCAAAAAGTCTGACTTCTAAATTACATGTCGGGGACCACGCTTGTGGAACTCGGTTAATGACGAAAATATGAAAAAAATAAAATCTATTGATATATTTAAAAGAGCTATAAAAAAACACTTACTAAATTTAAACAATACGTACATTCTTTCATTTTTTTAATTAAAAAAATGAAAGAATATATATATATGTATTTAAATATATATATGTGTATTTTGCGTGTGTATGTATATATATATATATATGTGTGTATGTATATATATATATATATATATATATATATATATATATATATATATATATATATATGTGTGTATGTATATATGTATGTATATATATATATATATATATATATATATATATATATATATATATATATATATATATATATATATATATATATATATATATATATATATATATATATATATATGTGTGAGTGTATGTGTATGTGTGTATATGTATATATATATATGTATATATACATGTATGTATGTGTGTATGTGTGTATGTGTATATATGTATGTGTGTATATGTGTGTGTATGTATATGTGTATGTATGTATGAATGTGTATATATGTGTACGTGTATGTGTATATATATGTATATATATATATGTATATATGTTTATATGTATATATATGTATATGTATATGTGTATGTGTGTATATATATATATACATGTATGTATGCGTGTGTGTATGTATGTATGTATGTGTGTGTATGTGTATGTATGTATATGTATATGTGTGTATGTGTATGTATATGTGTGTATGTGTATATGTGTATGTGTGTATGTGTATATATATACATATATCCTTCTTATATATATTCTTCTTGTTTCTTTTTGTTTGTCTGTTTTAATTTTGTTTAAAAAAAAATATGAGTAGATGAAATTAAATCTATAAAATGTTCGGAATCTTTTTTAATTCAAAATATCTTTTGTATATTTAAATATATATTATGAAGTTTTTTGGATATGTATACGCAAATGTACGGATTTGTAAACTATTTTTTCAAAATTTTTTCTTTTTTATTATTTTCAAACTTTTTAGTTTTGTCAAACTTAAAAATTGTTTTTTCAACTTTTTGATTTTTTCAAACTTTTTAATTTGTTTTTTTTTAAACTTTTTTTAATTTCACTCTTTTATATATTATTGGAAATTGCAAAGTTTTTTTTATTTTTTTTTATTTTCACGAAGGGGCTTGATGATAAGACATTTTGTCTTCTACTTGCCCCAGTCAGCTTGCATTTGTATAAATTTATTTGAATGTAAGGTTAACATTGTAAAATGTGTCAAATGACGAAAAATAAAAATTAAAAAAAAAAAAAATAAAAAATAAGGGTAGACATCAATATAAAACAATTGATAGTTTGACTATAGTTTATGACTAGGCACTTTTTTGATCTCTTGTTTGTTACGATGATTTGTGATCTCCATGGTGATGTTGAAGGTTTGATAATTCCTTCTTTTTAAAGGCGTTGTACTTCAGAGCTAAAAAATTTTCTGCCTTCAGCACTGTAGAGGCGAGATTTTGAGGCTATTAGTTTACACTCAGATATTTGAAAAATTGGATTTATACAACTAGTAGTAATTGCTAATGTTGGTTTTAAGATAGATGCAGCTGTTGAGTTAGTGTTATTTTGCATTGAAAGATATTACAATAGTTTCGTCAAACATAATCTCTAATGTTATGGCTCTATTTTTGAGAAGTCGTTGTTGGATTTCATTATAAGTTATACCACTGATAAAGGAGTATGTTAATGTTTTCTTGAGGTAACACATCTAAAAAATATTCAAAAGTTTTAAACCAATGTTTAAATTCTTGGTTACTTGATGGTGAGTTTGGAGGTGATTCAAATTGTGCTGGTCGTAGAGCTTTGTTCTTTTGTTCTTTGTTACACAATGAATTGCAAGTTAATAAAATTGTTGTGGACTCGAAGGATAAATGACAATAATTGAAATATTACTTTTTAATTTTTTATTAACTAAAAAAAAAGAAGAAATATTAATATAACAACAATATTATTGATGTTAAATATCATCACATAACTATTTATTTATGTATGTAAAATCAACTTAGTTATTGTTACTTACAGAGACAATTCTACACATTTATTAAAATGTAAATTAGCTACCATTTATATAAAAAGTATGAGGCATGACTTTAATTTGAAATTTAAAACAAAAACAAAACACACAAGTAACATTATTAAAATTAAAAATTTTTAAACATAAGGCAACCCAGTGATTACTTTGCTAAAATAATTAAATTTATTTAATTAAAATACTTAAATTTAAAAATAATTTAAAATAATTAAATTAAAAATAATTAAATTTATTTAATTATTTTATTCAAATAACTCATTTAAGTGTGGAAATGACCTAGTGTATTGTACAAATAGAGAGCTCAATGTTCTTAAAGGACAGAGCAGTAGTAAATTAGTATAAACACTTATCTAATTTTGACTGTCAAGGAAAATTAGATGAGTGTTTTTACTAATTTATTTATATATATGTATATATATATATATATATATATATATATATATATATATATATATATATAAATATATATATATATATATATGTATATATATATGTATATAAATATAAATATAAATATATATATATATATATATATATATATATATATATATATATATATATATATATATATATATATATATATATATATATATATATGTATATATATATATATATATATATATATATATATATATGTATATATATATATATATATATATATATATATATATATATATATATATATATATGTATATATATATATATATGTATTAATATATATATATATATATATATATATATATATATATATATATATATATATATATATATATGTGTGTGTGTGTGTGTGTGTGTGTGTGTGTGTGTGTGTGTGTGTGTGTGTGTGTGTGTGTGTGTGTGTGTGTTTAAACAATTTTAAAAATGTATTCTACAAAATAGAGTGCTCAATGTTCTTAAAAGAACTGAGTAATTATAAACTAGTAGAAAATCACTTAACAAATTTTTTTTTTCATTTTACACTGTGTTTCATCAATAAAGACTCACCAGAAATTTCTGATGAGTCTTCATTGATGAAACACATTGTAAAATAAAAAAAAATAAATTTTTGTTAAGTGATTTTCTACTAATATATATATATATATATATATATATATATATATATATATATATATATATATATATATATATATATATATATATATATATATATATATATATATATATGTATATATATATATATATATATATATATATATATATAAAAGAGTTTAAAAGGCTTTATATGCGCTCCTGGGGTTACAATAACAAAGATATGTTGCAAATGCGAGCAAAGTGGTTGGAAAAATGAGCATAGGCTTTGTCAAATTGCTGTACTGACCAAATAGGTTGCAATACAGAGCATTTGTGTTGCTTCAACGAAAATCCATATGATAATTGTTATTATCATCATCATCATTATCCTCTTTTTAATTCATTAAATTTTGTCCTTTAAAGTTACCTAATTCAATCTTTTAAAGTTATCTAAATTACTTTTTCAAAATTATCGAATTTAATCCTTTGAGGTCACTGAGTTTAATCCATTAAAGTTACCGAGTTAAATGCTTTGAATTTGCCACGTGGCTAAAAAACAATAAGAACATATCTTTAGAAGTAGTTAGTGGTACTAGGTAAAACAAGTGTTTTACCTAGTACCACTAACTACCACCGCCACATCTGTGCCACTCTTAACATCATATGTTAGTTGACACACTCATCCCACCCTTTATATTACCTTCTTGAAACCAACTACTTACCATTCCATGTCACTTTCACTTTGTCCAGCCTTAACCTCATTGGACTTTCCTTATTATTAACAGTGTTTAAAATAAATTAAACCAAACCAAAAATTACCCAAAACTGAAAGTTTCGCTAAAATAAAAATTTCTTTTTTGCTTAAACAAACTTTTGAATAAGTGTCGTTTTTTCAATATAAATTGGTATTGCTGATTTGAAAATTAAATATGTATAGTGATTTAACTTTTAGTCAAAATTTCCGCAACTTACTCTTCTTACACTATATATAAATAAAATTTAATTAGCAAGTTAAAAGAAACTAAATTTATATATTAAAAATAAAGTCATTTAAAGATATAAAAGAAAGACAATAAAGTAAAACTAATAAATGAGTTATATATTTTAGAAACAAACAAAGAACAGAGAAACAAAAAAAGAACTGTAGTTCTGTTTAACAATGTCTTGAATTTTTCAACAAAATTATGCTTTTAGATTTTTTCGGAAAAATACGCGTTATTTATATAATTATAATTTATAAAAGCACTAATCAAGGTACTATTAGTGCTTTTTCAAACTATAATTATCTAAAAATACGTAATTTCCCAAAAAATCTAAAAGCATATTTTTGTAGAAAAACTTCAAATATTGTTAAACAGAACTACAGTTCTTTTTTTATTTATTTCCAGAATATACAATTCATTTATTTGTTTTATTTTATTTCCTTTCCTTTATATCTTTAAATGACTTTAACTTGGCTTTGAATAACTTAAACATAAGACGTCAACATTTTTTTATTATTATTTTTTTTATGTCGTCGTTGAAAAAAATACAACGCGGTGTTATAAAAGTGAAATCTACATGACCGGCGCTAAAAGAAGATAATATTTACCTAGTTACTTACTTTGAATAACTTAAACATTAGACTTTAACACTTTTATTTATTATTTGTTTTATTTTGTCATTAAAAAAAAATACAACGCCGTGTTGTAAAAGTGAAACTTACATGACCGGCGCTAAAAGAAGATAATATTTGTCTTGTCACTACGTTCCGACGTGCTTTCGTCAGCCAGCGTGTACAACTATTAAAAGATAAACATACAAATACACGGTACCATTTAAAAATTATATAAAAATATTTACAAGAATATTAAAATCAGTTACTAATCTATAATCAAAAGAAAATTGTAAATATACACGCTGAGTTTAAACTTGGCTAAACATGTTTTTAAATTTATCTTCAAAAGCGATTCGCGGCGACAGAAGTCGCAGCTTTCTGAAGTGAAATGCCGTGTTTAAAGTCTCTGTGCTTCAGCATTGATATTTTAAAATCTTTTTCGATTTTTTAAAATACAAAGTAAAACATTTTTGAAGAAAATATTTTTGCTTTTATAAAGTCTTATATTCATTTAAAATTTTGATTTATAGCATTTATTGGCCGTTTTTTAAAGTTATTTCATCTTTTATTTATTAAATAAAGTTCAAAATTGTCAGATTAATGTGTTTAAGTGGTAAAATTGGTTAGCACACTAAGCTTCCTAAGTGCATCGCTAGGCTCCAAATCCTTTTTCTTGCGCATTTTTTATTTTTTATTTTTTTTTTAAATACAAAAAAAAACATTTTTAAAGTTTTATTGATGTTTGATATATATAACATATATAAAGATGTTATATTCAATAACAGAACAAAAGATAGAGTTTTGAAAGAAGCTAAAAATTTAATAAATATCAATAAAAAGTAAAATAAATTTTTTATGCATATATCATGATAGAGATACTTAAGTTATTAATGTGCTTAGGTAATTAGTTAAATCTGTGCATTTAACATGCATTGTAATGATAAAATATTTCGTTTAGGAAAAAGGATTTTGTATTCAAAATTTTGTTTTATTTGAAAATAATTAATTAGGCTTGAGTCCTAATAAGCTGGGGATGCTCTGGATTAAATTTCGTATAAACTTATTAGAAACTGAATAAATAATTTTTTTTTTTTTTAATTAAGTTTTTATCTTAAAAAGTCTGTACTCGTTTTTTTATAGAAGTTTTTGTTATAAAAAATTATAAATCATTCAACATTAATTGTTAACTCAAAGCAAATATTTAAAAGATTTTTATTTTCTACCATTTACTAATTTTTTTTGAAATAAAACAGCTATACATAAAGAATAAGTATAGAAATAGTCTTTGTGAAATAGACTTACCATGAACCGTATCATACGAGTCACGTTGAGTCTGTATTAAGTTTTTATTCCACATATTTATAAGTCTAATTCTAAATGATTTTTAAAGTTTTTATATTGATTGTAATTAATCAACACAGTTAAGCAGGTGTAATAAATGTTATTTAGATTTTATTCAGATGTAGGTACGTAAAGCGGGTGTTCTAAATACTAGACCATCCCTAGCTTATTAGGACTCAAGCCTACTTAATTATTTTCAAATAAAACAAAAGTTTGAATACAAAATCCTTTTTCATAAACGAAAAAAATTTATCATGACAATGCATGTTAAATGCACAGATTTAGTTAATTACCTAAGCACATTAATAACTTAAATATCTCTATCGTGACATATGCGTGAAAAGTTTATTTTGCTGTGTATTGATTTTTTTGGGGGCAAATAGAAAAACACAATGCGAACCTCTCTTACGTCAGCTTGGAGCTTTAAATATTTTAAGCCTAATAATCATCAAGTAATGTTATTTATGTTTGAAGCAAAACTTGGGTTTTCTCCAGTAACATTTCAATCCTACTTTAATGAAATCTCCCATAAATATCCAACCAAATATTCAGTGAATAACTTTGTGGTTTCCATAAACCTTCTTAAATTAAGTTCGTATCAAATTCAATATCAGGGACCTTTAGTTTGGAAAAAATTTCTTTCAATTTTTATTAAAAAATAAAACTTCGTTTTAAACTGCACTTTGCAAAGTTTTGAGGGTGATTCAAAACGGCATTTACTGATCATGGAATTCGATATATTAGATTTCGAATACCTTTTTTGAAAACAATTTAAAGGTTTAAACTAAATCACTTAAAATTAAATTAAATCTTTAACACTTTATATAGCGTTTATTAAAATGGTTTTAAACCATTAGTATAAAAGATAACGAAAATAAAATTGTTATTTCGTTCATATTTTTGATGATATTAAATAATCAGCCCAAATACTGATGTTTACACACATTACCTTTTTTTTTATAATTATACAACGCATTTTTTTGTGTGGTTTTATAACTTTCATAATTTTCTGTCGTTTTTACTTTTTTATTTTTAAAATTATTCTAATGGAAGATTTCAGCAACACATTATTACTGAAGTTTTTCTGTTTTTGTTTTTGCATTTATAGTGTCCTCTTGTCTTTTATCATTAATTGTCCATGTAAATTTTTGTGTGAGGGGGCTTGGTCATAAAACAACCTGTCTTCTTCTTACTCCGGCAAGGATTTTCTTTTATTGTAACTTCATTTTTGTAATATTTATCAACGGCAAAATAAATAAATAATAAAAAAAAAACTAAAAAAAACATTAAAACCTTAGGCTTCTTTCAAAACTATCTTCCTTTTTTAAGAATAACCGCTTTTGGTACTAATAACCAAACTGCTGATAAGTCGCAGTTTGTGCAAAGAATTCAAATTTTTAAAAAAAAAACTACCAAAGAATTCAAATTTTTAAAGATATTTGTTACTTTAAAGTTATTTTGTTTAAAATTATTTTTTATGCAAAACTTTAAAATGTAGACAATATGGAAAGTTATTCTTCGGCTTTCTAAAAAATATTGAATAAAGAAATAAGAATAAAGATGGTCGGTGGAGAATAGGCTTACCAAGACCCGTATTAAACGGGTCCAAACAGCTAGTATTTTAATTTGACCAATTAATAGTAATGCTAGTGATTGACATGGAACTCACAGCAGCATTTACACTCTAGTTTATACCAAGAACAGTTATATCACTTTTATTTGTAAGAAAATTTGAAGGACAATCTATGCAAATATCTAACTTTAGTGAACTTTAAACTACATAATGTTAAAAATTATATCAAATTTGAAAGTTTTACTTTTATTTGAAAATTGAATTGCGGCAACATCTCTTTAATTTTATTTTTAGCATATATTTGTTGTTTCATAAAGCTATACCGCCTTTAATCAATTGCATAGAGTTAAAAACAATAAGATTAGTATACCATAGTGATGATAGCGGTTAGCTCGCTAAGCTTTCATATTTCACGGCTGGGGTTCAAATCCGGTCACTTGCACAACCAATATAACTTTTTAAATCAATTTAATTCTAATCTTTTAAAAGATTTTAATTTAGTTATATTGCAAAACTTTTTTTATGACTTTAAAAGGTAGGTGATATGAATAGTTTCTCTCTCTCTTTCTCTCTCTCTCTCTCTCTCTCTCTCTCTCTCTCTCTCTCTCTTTCTCTCTCTCTCTGTATATATATATATATATATATATATATATATATATATATATATATATATATATATATATATATATATATAATGTTCTATGACACAAAGTTGGAAGGGCGATCATTTTAAAATTTGAAAAATAATAATTAGAATATAAAGTACATGGGGTTTTTTTTTGATAGAAATTATTAGCAAGTTCTGGTAATAGTTGCTTAAGTAGAAGCGCCAAAATCATAAGAAACTTTTAGTCCTAAGAAAATTTTAAAAGAAGAAAAATATTTTATTGAGAATCAGAGAAATATTACTTAGTTTTAGACTACATCTGGGTCGTCCATAAATTACGTTTCGCAGTTTTCAATTGTTTTTAATCCCTCCCCCCCGCTACTACCTACTTCATATACTGGTCATATAACACCATAACTTTTTAGTTAAAATGCTTGTGCGAGTCGTCACAAAGCTAATATCCCTTTCAACCCCTTTTTCCTTGAACTTGACGTTCTTTGTAGATTGTCCTAATTAAATCATCATAACACAAAGTTTAAAAGCATTATCTTTAACGGGGAACAACGATTTAAACAAGTATTTAATATACATACGTAATAAGATGAAACTCCATTCGATAGCAAATAAAATGCGTAAATCATATTAACGAGATAAAGGCTAAGATCAAGGGTAATAACTGCCTTTATTTTGGCTTCCAGCTATTTTTAGGTTTGTTACGGAACTGTTAGAAAGCAACTTTAAGTACAAGATTACAACTGTAACAGCGGATAGTGGTTACTGACGTAGTCGCTTATTTGATTATTATATTATGTTTTGTTTATGAAACTTGTTAAAAGGTTTTTGTTAAAATGATTATAAAAAAATAATTTGTTAATCCTAATTTAATATATATTTTTATAAATGAAAGGATTGTTTGAGGGTGTGTTTTTCAAGTATTAAGGCCGTTTAAAAAACTTACTAATCTTCGCACAATTTCAAAAAATTGTTTGCTCATTAGTGCATTATGTGGCTCATGAGCTAAATATTAAACGTCGATTAGTAATGCGAGTCTCTGCCTTAACAAAGCTGATAGATTGTAATTTGATTGACATCATTGTATTATTTTTAGATTTTTCTTTAACTGGTTTTTCTATTCATTTATTTTTATATAATTAGTTCAACCATTGGTTTATAGTAATAGTAACTCTATATTTTTGTATAAATTTTTAACAGCATTTTTAAGGTTTTTAGAATTTTATTACGTTGTAACTTGTTACTTTGGTCTGCTTTTTGCGCATTTGCTTTCAGTGGCACTCTGTAGCTTTATAGATATATTAATCGGAAGTGCAGACGACATAAAATATTAATTGCGCTCTTTTAAAATAACTGTATTTTGAATCCACTTAATTATTCAAAATTATTTTGATTACAATAAATAAAAAACAAAACTGCAAAATAAATTTAAAACGATTAAACGCGTTCCTTTCTTAATGTAAACGTAAATATGGTATCTAAATGATAAACAGATATCAAATAAAAACATTTTTCAAAAAAGAAGTAATTATGAATTAAATCTACTATAAAATCTATTTTGAAGTAAGATATCTCTATAAAAAGTTTATTTTTATGCTTAGTTATTTGATAATGTAATAAGGGGTATAAGGAATCCATAAGGAATCATACCATAAGGAATCTTCACCCTGTATTTTGCTGTATTATAAACTTTTTTGAGTACCCTAACCTCCATAAACGCTTTCATCAAGTTATCTACTCAACGTTTTATGATACTTTTCATTTTAGTGTCTCCTTACATTTATTATTGACCTCAGTTCTTCATCTCACATTTGCCATTTGCAAACCTTCTATGCCTCATCCTAGCGCACGTACATTATAGATATCCTAAGCTTTACCTTTGACTTTAACTATTTTTTAACTGTCAAGAACATATAGGGAAAAGTTCTTGTATATATTATTCTATTAAAATTTGTACTTACGTACTTGTTTGCACGATGTTTTTAAAATTGTGTTATAGATTTTTAAATTCGAAGGTATACTAAGAATTTCAACATGAAAGTTTTTGTGAATTATATTGGTATGTGTTACACGGTTCCATGTGAAAACGGTGATGAAACAATCAGTTGGCTTATAGATGAGACCTTAAAACGAAAAGCTAACATTTTTGAAAACAGCGCTGAAGAAAATGTAATATTAGAAGAACGAAAAAATTTGTTCCTCAGGCATTCTAAACATTTTGGAATACTTAATAGTAATGATAAAATAAAAGGAATTCTCGATGATGGAGACTTGGTACACTTAAGTAAGTATTTTTGACCTTATATCAAGTTGTTAATTCATGTTTTTATTTTCTAAATGTCTATTTTATTTTATCTAAATGTCTATTTTATTTTCTAAATGTCTGTTTTATTTTCTAAATGTCTAAATTTCTAAAAGCATGTTCCTTATTAAGATTTCAAGTTCTACAAAAAATGCCGGTTTTTTTATTTTATTTTAATTGATTCAACAATTGTAAATAAAATAATTTATTCAACAATTGTAAATCGTTGAATTAATTATTGTGTCAAAAATATTTGTTTGGAATTAGTTTTTGATAGGGTTTAAAATGTTTTTAAATTTTAAAAAACGCAATAAATTAAAGAATGTAACATAAATCAAGTAGGATTAAAAGCCAAAATAACTTAACTATCACTAATATAATTGCTAAATAATGACAAAAATTAAATATTTTCTAGCTGATATTGTTTATTTGTTCATATAGTTTCTGGCTAAATCATATTCTTCCACGTATTTTTAACTATAAAAAAAAGCATTCAATAAAGAAAGTTTTAATACGAAAAAGATGACATTATTTTATATTGTTTTCAATACCTCACCAATTGCAAAATTAAAAAGTATAATAATGATGTATATTAAAATTGGGCATTTCCTTTAATTTATAAACCTACTAAATAAGTTGTAACATCAGCAACTTTAATCAATAATATTATATCAAATGATATTTTTAAATATATCTCTGAAAAAAGGTATAGATAAAAGTGACATTTCTAATCTCTTCCTTATCATCTTCTCAATTAGCATCAATGCATTTAAAAATACTACGCCAAAATTTTTTTTACTTTAGCAAATTTAAAATCATTTAAAGAACAGTTTTCTCTGCTTCAGAAAATCCTCTAAAATTAACCAAAAACTATAAATCAAATAGTTAAAAACCAACAGAGGTAGTACTAACAAAAAATTATTCTACTACAATTTACTTGAAATAAATAAGCGTAACTCAAAACGCACATGGAAAATTCTATGAAAGTTTACTGGAAAGCAAATAAAAAAAATGTATGCACTACCTATTTTATTTATACTAATTTTAGACGTTATTAATGAATTTACTTCTAATCTAATTGAAGTTTGTGATGAGTAAATCAATTTATTGAATCAGTTGGCCCCAATCTGATTAGATTTCTGATTAGTTTAAAATGAATTAACTTTCACTAAATGTTAAAAATGCAAAAAACGGTCATTCTCTTCTCCAACTTCTAAAAGAAAACAATTACCTCTTCATATATCTTACTTTTAATTCTCTTCATATATCTTTACCTCTTCATATATCTTTACTTTTACTGATAAAATTTTAATAAAAAGTAAGTAGTACAAGTTTTTTGGGTGCCTAAGTCAATAAAAGTCTTAGTTGGAAATATTACATTGAGTATTTATACAATAATGTTGCTAAAAGAGTAATAGTATTGTATGAAGTTAAAAATTTTGTAAAATTTTTTTTCTTTAAACCAACGTAATATAACTTAGTTATATTTCTCATTTATTTATTTAAACTATTTTTTTATTTAAACAATGCAAACATTTTTTGACTCTTACTTTATTGTTATTTACATTCTTTTGGTTTGAATATTTAATTGTAAAATATTTTACTGGAATCTGTATATAAAATAAAAAATAAATTAATATTGTTGAACATAAACTTAGACAAGTTATCAAAATAGTTAGTTTAGAATCTGAAACTAGTACTTGCAATTAAAGAGACAGTTTATTTTTTATGGTTATCATACAGAATTGATTGCGGAGAACAATTTTCCACATTGGGTATTTAACAGGCACATCAATAACATTTTTTCGTTACGTTGCGTCCCAAGTTGAAATCAATAAATAACAAGGCTGCAATTTTTTCATATGCAAATAAATAAACAAAATTACGCAATAATTGTTGGTTTTCCAAAATCTTATTTTTATTTATCATTCTTTACTTTGTTTTTATTGTATAAAAATTTCGTCTTACTTGGTTACTCTTTTACATTTAAAAAAACTAGTAATTCGCAACAAAGTGACATAACTTTTTTATTTAAACCCTAAAACCATTTTTACGTTAAGTTGCGTCTTAACTAGATACGCTTTTAAAAGCTATGATCCCTATAACAATTAATATGTTACGCCTTACTTGGTTAAACTTTGATGTAACAACATTATCACCAACGTTTAACAACGATGATACGTTGGATTACATTTTTCCTACAAAAGACAGTGATTTTAATACGTAAACTATACGTATCTTTGTTATGTCACAATAAATTTTATTTCATAACATTGTTATAAGGATCATACTTGTTTCAGCAATTCTCATATATAAAAATCTCATTTGTATAAAAGTGTCTAGCTACTACTTAAAAAATCTAAAATATTATTAATAATATATTTTCTAAATACAACTATAATCATTGTAGGCCTACTATCAACAAAGTTAACATCTAAATCAGGGTTATTGCTAACATTAGCTATAACTTTTATTGGTACTTCAAATGGTGGTTTACCTGCTGCATCAAATAGTTCAAACAAAATTTAAAAGGAAGTTTCATTCTGTAAAGAGTAATTCCTGTAGTGTAAAGTTTGTGTCTGACTTTATTTTGTAAAACTGCAATCATTCCAACCATGCAGGTAGTATGCTTGGTTTTTTTGGTACTCCAACAAGAAGTAAGACTATGAGTGTATGATATTTCCCACCATAAAAGTTACCAAGAAAATTCTAACTTATATTCATATGATGTTCTTTTTCTGGCTTCGTCATCTTCTGTTTTTGTTATCCTTATTATCTGGAGTTTTGTGATTTTAACATCAATGCGATGAAAAACGAATTATATTATTGCATTAGCTAATCGTTTTTTTAAATAAAAGCATTAGCTAATAGAACATTTAACTAAGCTTAACAGCAAACTTTGTATACGTCAAAAAATTTTCGATGATTTTTTTTCAGGCGCTTAAGTCTTAATAATAAATTTATTTGCACTACAAAGTATGATCTTAACGCCTCCCCCTCCTCATTTATGTTTTCACTATTTAATCAAGAAAATCAATAATCGTTTTTGCTTAAACCTAATCCTAATCCTAACTCTAAACCTAAACTTAACCTTGATCAAAGTGTAGCTTTAAAATTTTATGGACAACACAACCACGTCTTCAAAAAGTCTTGAGGTGTTAAAAAAGAAACTTTCAACTTCTACTTTGTCATTATTAATGATTTATAGGACTAGCTAAATAAAATTAAATTTACGAATATTTTAGCACTTAATTCACTAAACCTAAAATATTATATAACAAGTAAAAGATATTTATGTTTAATATTATGTTGTTGAAAGAATCTTTTAAAATTTCGACATCAAATTTAATGCTGCTGCTCCTGCTGCTGCCGTTACTCATTCGTATGTGCTCAGAACTAACGGCAGTCATTACACCCAGCTTAATTTCAAGAAAGAGTCGCAGTACCTTATGCAAATATCTAAAAATGTAAACTTGAAAATATGTAATATTATAACATATATCAAGTTTTACAGTTACTTTTACTTGATATCGGTAATATTTCCTTATTTTTAGTTTACAGCACTTGCTCGCTGTTTTATAAAGTCTTTTGTTTATTAAAAAGTGCTATTATTTTTTATGTTATATTATTAAAACATTCATCAAACAATACGCCGTAGTGGCAAAAGAAGTCGCAGAGTTTTAAAGTTAAATTTGAAATTCAATATCTTTTTTTTTTATGGGTGAGTCTATTCGCACGCACGTGAGATTAAATTTTATTATAGTCTCTTCGCACGTTAAAAATAAAAAAAATTAGATTATTAATATGAAATCTCTCACTAATAAAAAACATTTATAACTTAAGTCATATATTTTGAAAGTAATTTAATTTTTTTAATCAATTCTAATCATAATTAATTAAAAACATAGTTAATTTTTTATTCAAAAAAAACAAAAACGGGTCGATAGGAATAATATAGACATTAACGAATACTTCTTTTTTTAATTAAAAGATTGGCTACCCAAGCCAAAACCCTCGTCATTGTATTTGTATTACACTGTGCCTATCCCTGTATAAGCAGTCGATATGTATATACACTGCGCATATCCTTTAAAAGTCACTTATTTTTAAAGTTAAAAACCAATAATAATAAATCAAATTTTTTAAATTCCCTTTAAATTCTATGATCTTTACCTTTTTTAAATTAACATGCGAGTAGACTAGAAATAAATATAGTCTATCCGCACGTGAAAAAAGTGTGAATAGAAAATTCCTTTTTTTATTCGTTTCAATTTTTGAAGTTACGAAATAAAATATTTTTGAAGTTCAATAAACATTTTTACTTTTATAAAGTTTTACTTTTATTTAAAAAATACATTGCGGCAAAAAATCCTAAATTTTGACTTATATAATTAATTTGCCGTATTTTAAAGTTAATTTACCTTTTGTTTATTAAACAGTATTTAAAATTGGCAGTGTGTATTAGTGGCCAAAATGGTTAGCTCGCTGCGCATCTGAAGTATAACGCGAGGGTTATACTTCGGAAATCTATTTTTTATTTTTTTCCTGTTTTCTAAAAAACAAAATAAAATATTTTTAACTAGTACTAAAAACAACTTTTCTGTAGATGCTCGTAGACTTTTTTTAAGTAAAAGATCTACGAGCATCAGATAAATTTGCTAAAGTTATGTACAATAAAATAATCACTAAGCCATCTTAACACAAAGTAAATTTGCGGTTATTTATAAACATTAAATAATAATAAAAAAATCAATTCGAAAAAAAAATAATTATATTAAAAATGCTTTTAAGTTTTTTTAAATTAATGATTCTAACTCGGATGAAGAATCCGATCCAGACATAAATTACTTTAATTAAGTTATTTGGCCTGAATTAGTATGCTCTTATTTTTAACCAAATGAAGTTAGTAACTTTATAGGAGTAGATAATAAAAGTGACTTTTTAAATGTCATTTACTTGAACATTAGAAGTTTAAAAAAGAATTTTGAAAATGTTTAAAATTTAATTTACGAAACCAACAATTGCTTTAACGTGATTTGTGTACCGAAACCTGATGTTTTAGATTTTAAATCAAATTCTAATCTCCTTTTCTCAGGTTTTAAAGTAATATTCTAAGAACGAAAGAGTATTAGGTACGGAGGAGGAGTACTTTTTTATTTGAAAGAAAATATTGTCTATAAAGTTAGAAGCGATATGAGTGTTTCTGAAAGGGTCAAGAGATCTTAACAGTTAAACTAATAAACGAAAATTCTAAAAACATTTTAATCAGCTGCTGCTATAGGCCTCCGACTGGAAGAACAGAAAATCTTGGTAAAATTTTTGAAATACAATCCAATAGAAAAAATTAGTCAAGAGAAAAAAACAAAGTTATATTTTGGGTGACTTCAACTTGGATTGTTTTGTGTATAACAAAAATTAAAACATAAAAACATTTTATAACAATTTATTTGAAATGTGAACCATACCAATATTAGATAGACCGACAACTATTCGTCGACTTTAATTGATAATATATAACCGCAAACAATTTTAATAAATCTCTAAATACAGGAATAATAAAAATTGGTGTTTCTGATCAATTTTCCATAGTTTTTATATTAAATCAGATTATCAAATAAAAAGTGAGGGTATAATGACATTAAGAAAGCGAATTATAAGGAATTTAACTTAAAATCATTAAAAATCAAATTTACAGCAGGACTAGATTCATATAAATTTAAATGATAACATAAACATATCTATAACACCTTTTTAAAACTTTCTGTAAAATCTATGACGCTAATTTTCCAATATGTGAAATAAATCTCACGGCCAAGTACATATTATCTCTTCGGATAAAAATCTGTTTGAAAACTACGCAAAAATACTAAAAAAATTTAATATTCTAAATTGCTTACTTAGCACAAACATTACTTAAAACGTGTCTGGGAATTAATGAAAGAAGTTAAAGGAAAGCAAAAAGTAATCAACCTCTCTTCCACTTGCAATAAAAGTTGGAAATTTAAATAACTAATGATACTAAGGAAACTGCGGCTGAATTTAACAAATTTTCTTCCACTATAGGAGCAAATTTAATAAACAAAATCCCTTTAACGAATTAAAAATTAACAGAATAACTTTAATTGTCAAACTCCTTACATTAACAAACCTAACGCTTGAAAAATTTTATATAGCTTTTAGAATGTAAATTTTAAAAAAATTTTTTTTTATTTTATTTTAGTGATTCATCTCCCCAAGCCCGAGAAGGCCACTGCAGATGAGGAAGCTATTTAGCTTGATAAACAAGGCCGCTGCGCGGAGAAACAAATTGAGCGCGATACTACTAGGGACGAGGTGGGAATCAAACTCGGAACCTCTCGCTTATAAAGCAAGCGCGCTGCCACTACACCAATACCGCAAATAGAAATAAATAATTAGGACCTGAATAAGGACTTAGGTAAAAAACCAAAATATTGTGATAGACTCTTTTAACGTCATGAAAGATATCCTTTACAAGTTCTTTAAATTACCCATTAAACAAGGTTCTTTCCCAGACTCTCTGAAAATAAAAAAAGTAATTCATATTTTTAGGACAAGAGACCTGACCAATATAACAAATTACAGACCTATTCTGTTCTTCCAGTTTTTTCAAAAAACATTATAAAGAATAATGTATAACAGAGTGTACACATACCTAATTACCAATAAACTCCTTTATGAAAATCAGTTCAGTTTAAAAAAAAAAAACTCAACTAAACATACTGTTCTTCAACTAACACGTTCAATCGACAAATTTTTCAAAAATCAAAAATTTACACTTGGTGTTTTCATTGACTTGTTAAAAGCTTTTGACACGTTCGATTTTAATATTTTGCTGAAAAAGCTTGAACTTTATGGCATAGCAGTTCAAACTCCAAGTTGGTTAAAAAGTCATCTCTCCGACCGAGAACAATTTGTTTTTACAAAGAAATCCAACCTCAAACATTAATGAATATAAATTTGATTTTGATTTGATTTGATGATTTAAACACTATAATTTTTGCAGACAACACAAACTTGTTTCAGTCAATGAAAATATAAACATGCTTTTTAATAATATGCACAGAGAACAAAAAATTTTGATTTATCTTTAAATAATAAAAAAATAAAATGGATACTTTTCCATCCAAACTATAAAGAACAGATACTGCCTGTAAACATGCCTGATCTTTTTATATACAATCGTAAAAAGAGAAAAAGTGACAAAATTTAAAAGAGTTTTTAATGAAGAAAATCTCTCTTGGAGATCACACATCAATAATATTTTTAATAAAGTTGTAAAAAATATTAGTTCTATACAAATCTAGAGGTATTTTAAACAAAAAGCAATTAACACAACAATATTACACTTTTATTCACTGTCATATCAATTATGAAAATATTATATGGGGAAGCACACATAAAGCTAAACTTATATCTCTTAATCGGCATCAGAAACACGCTCCTCGCATAAGTTTTGAAAATCGTTTTTCGAAATCTGAACAGTTTTTTTAAGAAATGGACGCCGTAAATGTTTATCAACTTAATGTTTTGTGTTTTATGCATTAATGTAAAGAACTTATGTCCCACTGTAAATTTGTGAACCTTTACAAAATTAAAAACCATAACAAATATAACCTACGTAATAATAGGATTTTAGAAAAATCTTTTTGCAATAATAAACAAGCTCAACTTTGCATATCTTGTGTGGACCTTTTTTCTGAAATGAAATAGTACGGCCTAAATTTGATTTTTCATATAAATTGACCTATTCCTTTTTCCAATAATCTTTGAAAAAATCATTTCTTCAACAAAAAATATTCTAGATTATTTTTATATTTAAAAAAAAAAAATGTTCTGCTGCTAAACTGCATATTGATTTGCTATGTTTTATTTTGGGTTTCACTTCTGAAGTATGTAGAGTATCTAACTTGTGGTATTTTTAGTGATTATATATTATAGGTATGTACTTATTTTATATAGTATATAAATGTTTTTATTGTAATAGAAAAAAGAGTTTTGTTAAAGACTTCATGAAAAGGTCATTACAATCTTCTTGAAGTCCTGCACGTATAATATTTTAAATCTCAGTGTAAATAATACTAAAACGAAAAAAAAAAAAATAATATATATATATATATATATATATATATATATATATATATATATATATATATATATATATATATATATATATATATATATATATATATATATATATATATATATATATATATATATATATATCTTGAGAATGGCGTAAAATATTGCCTAACATTCTTATCATGAAACTTTTAGTATTCTCTGTAGACAGCTTTATCTAACTTAAACTGTTTCATATAAACCTGTAAAATACCGTAACATACGCTTTATCTGACACTAAATGTTTAGTCATCATGATTGCTTCTGTGTCAGAATCAAAAAAAATATAGTGTACAGTGGAATGAGTGTAACTTAAATTAATAAGTTAACATAGGAAGGCTTCCGATCTAAATGCTTTTTAAATCTATTACCAACATTATACTTCGGTTTACAAAATAATTTTCATTGATCACTACAATGAGCCTTGGGATACATAATCGGCTTACAGCAGCATTGTCTATCGTTTTAATTGAACAAATATCAATACCGCGAAACTAATATTTTATCGTATACACTTTCTATCTCAGATGCAGCAGTAACAGGAACTTCCAGAACCGATAAGCATATTAAAATTTGAGCTTGAAATGACTTTATTTCTTTCTAGTGTTGAATTGTGTTTGCTTTAACAAAATTGTTATTCATATAAATAAGTTTTTAAAAATCTATGCTTATATAAAATATTGTATGTAAAAGATAATAAAATATTTAACCTAAAATAAATTTAAGGAGTTTAAAATATAAATTAAAACTGTTAATGTCATTGTTACATCAATACATCATTTATATTTTTGAATAACCATTCTTTAATCACATAAAAATTTTTTTTAGCATTAGTCTTCTTTGTTGTAGAAAATAAACCAATCTTTTTTCTTTAATCCTTTCAATGAGTTTTGAAGATAGTGTTTGTTCGCTCTATCAAATTTTGCATTTTTAGTGTCTAAGTATAACAATATATCTCTTTACATTCGGATTTAATCCATGTTATATTTTTAATCATTTTAAGTCAACACCAAGTTGCAATCAAATAACTCCCAAATTCACTTAACATGTTTTGTAATTTTTATCATCTTTTGTTATTTGTACTTGTTTTTATGTATAATACATGTTCGTATTGCCTCTACAGTTAGCTATTATGGTTTTATTTTTTGTATGTTTATTATACAATTTATGTTTACAGAAGTAAAATGTTTTAAAAAGCAATAGCATGAAAATATTTTCAAAAATTATTATAATTATGTTATTATTAGTTTATTTGTTTTTAGTATAGTGTTATTATATATATTTTTTTAATAATGTTTTCATATATTGTTTATATTTATTATGATTTAGATTATAATTGTCGAAAAATACATTTTAAAAATCATATCTAAAAAAATTGAATACACACTAACATGTTGACATTTTTTAAATTTAATTTTGTTAAATGTAATTATTGCTATCTGAACTTCTTTATAGTTTTTTTTTGTTTAGAAAGTCTAAAAGAAGATATTATTTCCCAAAGTTCGACACACGGAAAGTATCTTTTCTAAATTTTTACTCAAACTTTTATTTAAAATGTCTATTTTAATTGAACTTTTTTTCATTCCAAGTTATTACTATTTACATTCATCCAGCATGCTGGAGATATAAACTTTTATTATTTTAAATAGCCAAACTTTGCAAGATTAAACGATAATATTATATAAAACTATGAACTTAAAACTTTAAAAAAAATTACAACTGCTTCGAAGTTAACAAAATGTCACTAATTATTGACAGAACTAACTGGTTTCTATTTCACTCATTCTCCTTAAATAATTAATACTAAACAAAACGACTTCTATATTTATTAATAATATTCAAGTAAAAGGTGTAAAAACAACAAAGTTTTTATAAATATATATTAATAACAAACTTACATAAAGGCAGAAAATCAAAAAGTTACGCAACAAATTTCCAAAAAGTATTGGAATATCATACAAATCAAAAAGCTTTCTAAAGATGCTTTTTTTAATGCAACTGTATTGTTCATTGCCACATCAACTATGCATATTTTTGAGGCAGTTTTAACAAAAGTAAACTAGAGCCTTTTCATTCTCACAAGAAACATACAACACGTTTAGTTCCTGTGATCATTGAACTTATTCAAACCCTCTCTTAAAGGTTATGAATGTTTTAAACATATATCAACTTAACATATATGTTTTTCTTTGTTTTACGCACAAATGTTAAACGAAATAATCTCCGTTTCTTTTAAACCAACGTAATTAACTTGAACTCTATATGGTCGTAGTTTTAGTAATAAAACTACAACCATATGAAATTGAATCTTTACTCAATCAATTAATATTTTTATAAAAAAAAAATGTAAACTATAAACAGTTGTTTATAGTTCACTTGGTATGCCATCATTATTTTATAGAAACTAATAAGAAAAAAGTTATAAACCAAAGTTTAATAAATGTATATATATATATATATATATATATATATATATATATATATATATATATATATATATATATATATATATATATTTATATATATATATATATATATATATATATATATATATATATATATATATATATATATATATATAGATATATATATATATATATATATATATATATATATATATATATATATATATATATATATATATATATATATATATATGTATATATATATATATATATATATATATATATATATATATATTTATATATATATATATATATATATATATATATATATATATATATATATATATATATATATATATATATATATATATATATATATATATATATATATATATATATATATATATATATATATATATATATATATATATATATATATATATATATATATATATATATAAACTAGTGGTCAAACAAATAAACTCTGTATATAAAATAATAATTCTTTTGTTTTTACTATTAAGTAAGATATTTATTTTTAGTATATTTTATCACTTGAGAAAAAAAATTCTTCAATTGTATTAATTGCACGTTGACAATTATAAACATGATTATCAAATCAATCTGTTGATTGTCCGGTTCAAAAACATATATCTATTAGTACAAAGTCTTAAAGTATTAATTTTTATGTATGTCTATTAAATCTTTGTTATGTAATAATAAGTAAAATAAATTATTTATGTTTGTTTCAATAATTTTTTTATTAAAAAAAATTTATAAAATAAATAGAGACCACTGTAAACTTAAAAAATAGATTACTATTACAGTTATATATATGTAAATGTCTACAATTTATAGTATAAAATATCTAATAAAATTCTATTGTATATAAATTTTATAAATTAAATTTTTATAAAGTAATATTAAATTTATATAAAATTAAATTAAATTTATAAAATAATTTTAAAGTTATACAAAATAATATATTAAATTGAAAAACAAAATGTACACTTTTGCGGACAAGTTCAGTTGACACATAACAAAACACTTTGGCAGACAAGTTCTATTATTAGTATGAAGAAGTTCGAATTTGTTGATTTTAATTTTGAGTTAAATAAAGACTCATTGCCATGATCACACAAACCAAACCTTTTGAAAGAAAATATTTTTCCTATTTAACTAATTTGTTAATTAAAAATATCATTCTAAATAAAAATATATTATTGTTTAGCTGTATAGTTAAACTATAAGTTATTATTCAATAACAATAACTAAATAGATAAGTTTTTTAGCATTAATATTGACAACTTTTGTTTTATGTTTATTTAATCATAAAAAAAATATTTTACATACCTGCCTGCGTAAAAGTGACAGAGAGAGAATAAACTTTCTTTTGATGCGTTCTCGGACGTCCGTTGGACGTCCGAGGACGTACAAGTTTAGACTTGGACAAATGGATCTAAACGATGTATCGTTTAGATCAATTCGTCCAATTTATTTCAATAAATTAACTTTATTTCGTTTTCAATTTTTTATAAAATTTGAATATTTTTATTTAAATAAGGTGACCATATCGAAAAACTTTTTATAAAGTTTACTTCATATAGTAACACTTATAGATATAAATGCTTTTTTTTGAATTCTAAGCATTCGATTAGCTTTATATGATGTATTTGTGACTTGATCATGAAAACAAGGACCAGATGATAATGTTGTAGCTAAATTTTCTGCGGTTGATGTTACCTCAAGCTTCAGTCTGGTGTGCGCAAGGTTATTTATTTGTTAATCAAATTTTAGTATATTAGAACTCTCTAGAAAATGCATTGATTTTACTCTTGCTTTTCGTTAAGTTGCATATGCTATATTTTCGTCCGTTCTGTAATCCTATTGATATCACGTTCCAATCTTTCACTGTCATTTTTATTTTTGATTACAGAAAAAATCTTTTTGTCTTCACCTTACATTTTACAAACCTTGTTAATCTCTTTGGGCAGAAACAGGAACTCAATCAGATAATGTTTCTCATAAAAAAACACGTTGTCAATAATTTTAAAGGAAAGCCTTTTCAAAAGCTTTAGTGTACTCAAGGAATACTTTCTGTCGATTTTTTATTTGATTTTGCAAAGGTTATAAAATCCATTCTTTCCAAAAGATTTGTGTAAGCTTACTTCAATTATCTTTGTTTTCAAATTTTATTGTTTGAAACACCTTTTTTCCGTTTGAAAAAAAAAAAAGTATATATCTTATAGTTATTTTCAAAAGGGTGATTTAAACATCTACATTTATATTACATATGCAGTTCTTTTAATTTTCAAAACGAACTGATTATAGAGAAAATCATAAACCAAATGTTTTGCAAATATTATTTTTCATATTTTTTACCTCCGTTTATGTTTAAATTATGTTATATTGTTAACCCAAGTTTACCAAATCGTAAATAATTTTTATTAAATAAGTTCATATTATTTATAGCAATAGTTAAAAAAATAATTTGCATATAAAGTACACGTTAATTTATATATATATAAGTATATATATAAATTTATTAATAGTTCACGCTTAATAATAAAGCGTTATTATAAAAATTATACCGTCTTTCTTCAGCTTTATTAATCAATTTTAACATAATAGTGATATAGTATAATAAAAAACTGTAGAAGTTTGAAAACTACGAGTAAAATTAACAGTGTGTAGTTTCACTTTGACAGTATACAGTGTAGTTATTCTAGCTAAATAAATTAATCATAAATTACAAGTCATATAGCTCTATTATTTATCAATAAAAGTTTTGAATAGGTTCAAACTTTCACTTTTGATGATAAAATATGTTAGTTTGTTCTACATTGATAGTTAAAAATTGATGACAAGTATTGCAGTTTTTAACTATTTCTCTTCAGTTTTGAAGTTATGGCTTCTACTGTTGGGCTCATTTGAGGTAAAAATATTACATTCTAGTTCTACAACTTTTATGTTTTTAACTAATTCGTAAATTTAAATTAAGTCGCCTCTTTTACGTTTTTTTTTTCCAGCGTGCTTAACCAGACAGCCTCCCGCTAGCGGCACAATGCTGGCCCAGCTCCGCTCGCGACTATGGCACGATGACGACTGTCGATCACGGGTCTTCATTGAAACGACCATTGGGCCAGCACTGGTCCGCTAGCCATGGGTCAGCATTGGCCCGCAATTGTTTGCCAGTTTGCCACTGGTCTGCAATAGTTTGCCTGCACTGGCCCGGGATTATTTGCCAGCACTGGCCCGCGACCGCTTAACAGCACTGGCCCATTATCTATTACCAGTACTGATCCATGATCATTTTCCAACATTTGTTCGTGGTCGCGTGTCAGTACTAAAGCATCACTTTTTTTTAATACACTTGCACGTTATTATTAGTCGTTTCTGTACAAATGTATTATCCCAGCATAAATCAACCAAATAAGTACTTTTCGAAATTTATTCCAACGTATATCGAAAAAAATAAATAAGTATTTTCGAAATTTATTTCCAACCAAAAGTGTATTAAAAAAATTAAAATAAAAAACGAAAAAGTGGTATTAAAAGTTCAAATTGTTATTTATGATAATAACTTTTTAAACAATGAACGTTCCTCTCGAGATTTTTCGTCCGCCATTTTAATCCCTAAAAAGTTTAAAATATCTCTTCAGTTAATATTCTAACTCTTCTCCTGATACTACTGAGGTTAAAGCTTTTTTTTTTCACAGCATTTAATTAACACAAAGTTAAACTATGTGTGAAAAATAGTAAACAATTAAACCAAAATGTATGATTAAAATTTACATTACACACATATACAAACGTTAAGGCAAATAAAAAAACACCTTTTTTAAAAATAATTCTGCACCTCAACCCTTTTTTATTTGATAAAATAACACTATATATAAAATTTAAAACAATATTTAAACATAAGACTAATTCATATTATTATTGAAAAAAAATTATATAAAAATAACTCCAAGAGTAAATTGCGAGAATACTAATAACCAATGCAATAAAGTGTTTGTTTTTTTCTCACATTGGCAAAAAACCATTTCACAGATAAACATCTATTGGATATCGGTTAAGACCCCAAAAACTAAAACACAAAAAACTAACA